TTATCGAGCAAATCTTGTTTTTATCAGCTACACGCTAAACATCTTTGGATTAAATAATCAGTATGGCATCGGAGTATTTTCATCAAATTGAAAAAAGAAAAATGATTTTGAAGAAAAGGCTGTCGGTCGCCGGGGATTATCAGGGGATCGTACAAACAGTCGGAAAATGCGGCCTTTACAACTTCTGCCTCCTCTCCAACATGTTCACGGCAAAGAGTAGTAGGAATACTTACGGATAGATAGACAGCGGCCCGTAGTAAACCTCGGTCAGGAAGATGATCTCCCCTGAAGTCTTCATGTGAGGTTCCGTCAGGTGAACGATCGTCCACTTCCCCATGCTATGAAATGCAAAGTCGCCTGACATGTCTGCCTCAGGTCAGGTTCGGCAGGGACATCATCTCTCTGCCGAGTCATGGGAGATGGTCAAAGCGATGATCTCCCGAAATAGTGTGCTAACGAGATTCAGAGAAAATTTCCGTGAGTTTCTTCTGAGTAACTTACAATACGCGTCAGTTCAACATGTCGAAGGAATACTGACAAAGAGTGAAGTTCCAGGCCTACCGTCGCGAGACAATCGTCGCGATTTGTAATCGCTGGAAACTAGCGACGGAAACGCGCGACGGATCGCTAATTGTTCGGATATGGGACATACCGAAGCAATTTGTGCATTCTCACGTTACACTAAATATTGTCAGTTTGTGGTGTCGTTAACAAGTAACAAACAAATGACTAGAGAAAATCAATACATCCGGAGAAACTGGACTCATTCGCCTTCTTAAGCAAAAAACTAGCTCCAAAAAAGAAAAGACCATCATAAAATTTTTCGGAAAGAAATCCCAATCCAAGCGATGCGTCGTGTCGCGCATTCGAAATGAGCGACGCGAATTCGCTGAGATGAGCGACGATCGCGGACTTCGCTCGGATGGGTATGGAAACGGACAGCGATGCGTCGCGCAGAACAGCTAGCACATATTAACGGGGATCGCTGGATACTACCCACGTGTAACACTTGTCCTTTAGCAGAGCTCGCGACGCGATGAATCGCTGCCCGGTATGCCCGGCCCTTGAGGGGCCACAGTGCAAGCTGACGATACTCAACAAGATCCAACAAGTGCGGCCACTTCTCTGCCGATAATTACTTAGATGTGTTTATTTAGCGAACGCGTCTTGACTCGAATACTTGCATGAACGTGACGTTCTCATTGATATCATCACGATGGTGAGAACTATCAGTCAATCCACTGAGGCTTCACGGCAGAGCTGACTTGTTGAATTCTCATCTGAGGCTTTCCTCGGTCAAGTTCGACTGAAGCGGCTTTACTACAAGCCACTAAATTAAGATATCTGGAGTTTCAGGATACGAAGCTTTCTTTGGAGCTGCGATCCCTCTCTAGCGAAGATGTTAATGCATGGGGTTTCTAGCCTTAAATGATTCCACATTTATTGCTGCTCGGTGAGCGCAACACCTTTGGTTTAGTGTTGGGCTGGTCACAACTCCCAACCCAAGGCGCTTTCGATGTGATTCATAGCCGAGTTCCGACTAACTCCTTTAAACCACGCGACTAGATTATCAAACTTTATGTATATACATAACATGCCATTTTCTCCAATTCATTCTCGACAACTGAGGGAAAACAAGCAATCAGATTGAAGGACATGTTTTTCGCAAATTCGGAAGAATTATTAAACGAGGCTATAAGAGAAATTGAAGTAGAGATGAGTGGCTGGAAGCAACTGGGAATAGACATCTGTTGTCTTTGCATAGATCTGTTGTTCTTCGGAATAGACATCTGCTGTTCTGCATTATTTTTGTCAGGCTTCCCCGGCGGTTTAGGAGCGAATAGAGGAGAGGCTCCAGCACAAAGTCTTGGGCAAGCCCCACTCATCTTCCTCCATAGCGACGTCATACCACGTGAAATGGGGAGGTACTCTAAGGAAAAGTGACACAATGACGTACTGGGATGGAAATCGCTAACAATATGGCATTGCTAATAATAGGGAAAGACCCACAACGGAAAAAAATCTCGCTCGCAGTAACGGAAGCACCATCGAAAGTCAGCGAATTCGCGCCAACTGAGTCTGCGGCATCTGAATTGATTGAATAGACAGGTGAAAATAACGAAATCTCCAGCTTGGTCAATACCGCATTAGGAGTCGAACTTTGAGGATTACCCCACTCGCGTACTGAAAGGGAAGATGCCAGTACCAACTCTGATGCACAATCGAGTTCATACGATGACGAATCGAGTAGGACACTATCGAAGACAACAGAAAAGGCATGAGTTTTTTCCATGGGAACCACTATCAGGACCTGTTAGTTCCTTTCTTGACTCGCAATTGTTGGACTATGTGCAGCAATACCTTGCACGTAGGGGTGGCCGACGTGCGACTGCACGGTGCAGCCGTGCAGCGGCACGGGGCAGCCGCACGTCTGCGACTGTGCGGGGCGGCGGCACACGTGCGGCTGCAAGTGCCGCGTCTTCCTCGCGAGCACCGCCTGCCAGAGGCAAACATTTAATAGACGCAGAAGAAAGAAATCGAACAAAAAGACGCAAATAATTCTAATATATTCAATAACGTGGGTCTCTAAGATTTGACCTGCTCGAAGATTCGTGTAATAGTATGAAAATGTCTTTGTGTTCTTAAGCGCTGTAAAACCTAATGTAAATGTTTACCTATCTAAAAGTATTGTCTAACAGTGTCAAATAAATGAATACGTAAACACGAAAACAGTACGGACAGAATAACAACCACTTATGAATCGCTCCTAAATTCAAAATTGCAGGCGGTTGTTGAACTGGAAAGTTTGTTGAACTCTCACATTTCGAAAAATTATTCCTTACACAGGAAACACTTCATACACATGCGATCAGAGTCAAACTCAACTGTAGACATAACCACCATCACCTTGAAAGTTACGACCTCTTTCCATTCCCGATTTTCTCCAGCTATCAACAACGAGCCCCATTATGCTGCCTATCCAACCATACTAAACAACAAATCTACCGACAACATTCAAAAGAGGCGACTGCTCGTTTCCGCAACGCAGCTGCGTCTCCCTCGCGAACATGCTCTCTGATCATTTTCAGCCTTAATTGTATCACGGAGTCCTGCCTTCCAGCCGCCGATCTGAATGAAGCAAAGGGTAAGCTCTTAAAGGCACCGTCCACCCAAAATCTCGACTTCCATGTTTTTGTCGATTCCAGGCCTTCTGAAGGCCCTGATTTCGAATATGAAGTCAAAAATCCGCGAAACCGCCAAAAATCCCAGTTTTGAGAACCCCCTGCAACAAGCGCCGGCGAGGTAAAGCATGCAATTGGGCGGAGTGACCATGGTCGCTCCGCCCACTTTGCTACTTCAGGAGCGGGTTTCTCGCTCCAGAAGCAGTCTTTTGCGGCGCAACTTGGGGGTTTGCCTAGTGTGGGGGCCCACACTAGTATGCCATCATAATCTCGTCAACCCCCATTTTGGGTGGACGGTGCCTTTAAGGGTGCTTTTATACCGCGCCGACAGCCGCCGCTAGCAGCCCGCAGCAGCCGCCAGGAGCTGGTAGCCGCCGCTGGCAGCTTTTTTCATGGAAGCGTAAAATCATCAAATTCTTTCTACTTTGAGTGCTCCCGCCCATGCTCATCTTCCGCGCTTTTTTCTTCATATTGCCGCTAATGTGCATTTCGACTCTCACGCATTACAGAAATATTTAAGGTAAACACTAATAGCCAAGAAAATGATGGAAGCAGAGCCATACTTAAAAAATAAATAAATAGGCACATGCAGAAACTGGACGCATTCAAAGTCGCAAAAATTCACACCGCAAAGAAACTTTGGCGAACTATGGTTCAACTACGTAAGGGAAGTTGAGCCCAGGATAACCAATCTACGGCAACAAGATAAGAACAATGATGGACACAAGGTAGATATATGAAATCGACTTGCATACCGGTGGCAACAGGAAGGAAAAAGCGTGGTCGATGAAAAGCCTGAGCGGGTATACTCAAATAGTAGAATTTGATGATTTTGCGCTTCTACGACAAAAGCGGCCAGCGGCGGCTACGGGCTGCTGGCGGCTGCTAGCGGCGGCTGCCGGCGCGTTATGAAGCGCCCAAAGAGCACTCGTCACTTCCACTATTTCGAATTTGCAGCGTACAGCCGCAGTAACGACCATGGCTAGCGAATCTTTGTGCTGCAATAAAGTAAGCACCACTAAATCCACCATGATATAGCAGTGAGTATTGATTAAACATATTATTAATCCTTTCATGGAGGTAAGTGAAAAAACTCTTCGACGAACTTTGTCCATGATGAAAGCTTACCTCAATTATTCCTCATTTTTCGAATAGCATAGGCTTAAATATGTTTTCAGTATAAAACTTTGCATCATATATCGCACTTCATCATATAATCTGCCTCCTTCATTTGAAATGATGACATTCAGAACATTAACGTGATCCCTTGAAGAAAGTCGGAAAGCCTTTTCAAATACTATGTCACAGATCGGAGATTTTGGGGTACAGCAGCACAAACACAAATGGCGTTCAGGTTTATCTGGCTTCTCCGAATCGCTCCGAAGGCTGTGGAGAAAAACAGCAAGGTACTGCAAGGCACTGTCAGGATACAAACAAAGGTCCGCTTATTCGGAAGCGTTTAACGTTGCTAGCCCATCATCAGCCAAAAAGAAAACCACGAACTTGTGTAAAAATTTCAAGGTGCTTAATACTTTCGATCACACTAATATGTGTAAGAGAACGCTTATCAGTGTTCCCAAGTACCAAAGCCTCAGAAATTCACAATTTGCAGAACACTGTAAAAAAGGGCCATTCACTTATCTTCATATAAGTTTTCCATTGTGGATGCCAATGTGATCCTCCGTCTGCATAGACATATTCATTGTCAACAATATTTACAGAAAGAAAAACAATATGATGCCGTAATTATAAGTTGAGCATTACTTGTAACAAGTAACAAATACGACGATTGTCCGAGAATGTCGCATAATCCGAATCCTACGCAAGGAAAGCATTAAGAATGCTTGCTAGTTCGTCGGAAACAATAACAAAGACAGAGATCATTGAACGAGCTCTCTTAGGAGATAACGAACAAACTCTACGTCCTAATCAACAGAAGGTGCTTCCTATTTAAGGAAGTTTGTGCAACCCGCAAGAAATTTTCCTCTTGTCTAGCAAGAAAAACATCAGGTCCTACAAGGAGCAATTCGAGAAAGGTGTGTACCATAGTGCGTCCGTACATAGCAAGATATGTCAGTCATGTTCGCAACTTAAAGCTTTAGGCATTATTACGGTGGATTTTTGCTGACGATGGTGCGCACAGCTCGTCCGGGCGTGCGAAGAAGTTGTTCAAATTCCCACTTAAAAAGGATGTCAGATCTTGCGCGGTAAATGAATGTTGACTGAGTACTAACCTGAACATTTCCGATGTCAATTTTGACTGGTGGTAAGGAGTACTTCGGGTGGAGGTAGTCATTATACTTATGAGGAATGGCAGGAAGATACAGAGAGTGCTTTTTCTCATCAAAACCTCGATTTGCATAAGCACACTTTTGCGGTAATGGCTCAGGCATGTCCAGTGATGTACTGTAAATACTAAAATATTACCCATACAGAATCTTGTGCATGTAAGCACTCAAAGTTAGCAGCACCTAGAGGAAACAGAGTCGATCTCGACGTATTTTGTGTTCCTTCGCGGTGATTTTACCGCACTGAAAGGGATCCCTTTACGTGGATGACACCTGCAATGAAAGAATTTTTTGAAAACTATCGCCTCTAATACGAAAGCAAGCATACCATGTTGGCGCAAGCGTACACCAGCCCATGAAAAATACTACTAGCACGATAGTGTAGCCAAAAAGGATTCCTATAGTTATGTAGAACCACATGCGACAACTGGCATGTGCCACTGAAAATTGAAATTGAACATGCGATCACCTATGAATTGGACGTTGCGTAACGATGTGAGATGTGACGAAAGACAGAAATGACGGATGTGGACGTTGAAGAAGTGACGCAATGACAACAAGTTCCGCGAGATCTTGCAGAGGCGGATTGATCGTAGCTCGTAGTGCTGCAAGATAAATCTGCATCTGCAGCATTTTTCGGCCCATTGCTACAGATTGGTGCTGTGACGTCAGGCAGTCAAGTTGAAACAGGGGAAGTTTTAGCTTGCAGGTATCACACGTTGGCATTTTCATAGTAGCTGCTTGTAAGCTGGTAGGGTTGAGCACGAAATAAAGTATAGTACGGAAAAGTCCTATATTTCAAGCTTTCTATCTTTTTTACAGCAATCATGAATATGATCCAACTTCGGCTGTTTAAAAACCGTGGCAAAGACTTACATATTGCGGCCGCAGTCTTGACAAATTGTTGTAACTATGAGATTACTCTAATGCCAGAATAAATTGTTGTCTAATTGTCTTAGGCATTGTACCAGCGGTTTGATTGCTTTGGTAATGAGCACATGAGATTTTTCCGATGCTTTGAACTATCTATAAACTCATGCGAAATCTTATAAATAGAAGAAACAGTGGCAGAACCTCAACAAGCTTATTGATTTGCGAAGATTGCGAACATCAAGTTCCAAGCATCGAGAATTTTCTAACAAAAAATTGTTCAGAAGCTGTTGCTTCGAATAAAAGCACTCAAGACCAGCAAGCAAGGAATGCAGAATAGATGTATACATTTATATTCATGCCTGAACATCGCTAGAACTCGTGAAACTTGATTTGGTCTTCTTTCTCCCAGCTAATTTATAATTTGCTGAACGCTGAGAGCCCAAGGACAGAGGTATTTCTAGATGTTGTAAGCCATAACTTCAGCCATTCAGCCTCACGATATCACAATATGATTTGAAGAATTCATACGTGCTGTATGGATTGAAACCTACACAAAAATCTGGTATTGGAGTGTGTATGGGAAATAATAAAGTTTAGGAGCCAAGCGTTCACCATGCTATAACAGAGCGAATCGATGAATGGCGCAACAACCCGATGCATAAACTCACAAATAATAATCCCCTCCGAAACCTTTGATGAGCTTTAGATGTCTGCTACGTCAAAGAGTTTATCGGACTTCATCGGATCAAGCGATGACGCTTGGTCAAACAAGCTACTTTACAGATGATGTCTCATGCATAAGATATCTTATCGTCTTTGATGACTCGTTCAGGGCTAAGTTGGCTTAGAGAATGGGAGATGAGAGGATTTTCTCAGACGTATGAGGTGTCAAGCATATCTGGCGAAATGCTATTGGGTGTTTTTTGCCAAAACGATGCAAACAAATTAATGTATAATACTTTTTAGTTTCGCATTATTGTACGTGTTACAATCGTATCAAAAATGGCAACTTTATTTACTAGAAGAGCCAATAACAAAGTTTGTAAAATTAATTTTTCACAGCTGCAACTAAAAATTTACAACACCGGTACACCAAGCATTCTCCATCGAACTCCTGCAATAGCACAATCCATGTTTGATCAATTTGAAAAGCTTCGTACCGACGAATATACTGGAATAAGCCAGAAGAACAGGAGAAGATTTGCCAATCGAAATAGATTCAAGATGGCATATGCAATAACTTTGCAGACCGAAGATAAACGGCTGTGCTCTATAAATGGACAGACAAGAACAGCCAAAAAGCCAGACACGATGAAAAATCTGAGACACCATCCGTACAACGGTCCAAAATATGAAACGAAGCTAACACTCCCAACAGCACAAAATGATCTTATATATAGGACTGAATGTCTGAGATGTCTGTTTGTCTGTCCGTAGCATGATCCGAATAAAAGTTTTTGATCCTGAACCGATCCGGACCAAACTTTTCACAAATGGACTTCGTGTCGTGAGCCACCCCTCGTCATCGATCGATAACGATTTACCGATTTTTGCAGATTCTACGGGGTTGGGATTCGGCATGGGGGGAGGGTGAGGGAGCATGCTGATAACGAATATATTATTGCCAGGAGCGGAGCCGGGTTTGCCAGCTAGTTGATTATGAACAAGTGAATGCTATGAGTGATCGGGTTGAGGAGTAAAGAATAGATGATCTGAGTGAAGGTAGTTTCTCTAGGTTTTACTTTTAAATCTTTTTTGGTGCTGTGTCAAACAAAAAAATTTGAAGTTCCAATAATATTATGGAAGCTGAATGTCTGCGATGAACAAGCAATTGAAATGATAAATGGATTAGAATCTCAAAAGCTAATAGAGCATTTTTATACTGATTTTCTTCTATGTTCACCCCTTCCAATCTCTAAAAGACTGCTCGCACTTCACCCAGGGCTCGGCGCGAGATGGCTTCCAGAAATTACAAAGAACGAAGTCCCCTTTGACTTTACAATAAAAGTAAGGCAATGGCCATGAGATATTAGGAAAGAAAACACTTGAACGGAACGAAGCAAAACAAAAGAAGCCGATGATGTTCGTATTTTCCGGATTGGCGGAATGATGTATCCAGCGGGCAGAATACGCGCCTGGAGCAGCGTTGCCCGCCATTCAAAATTCCCAAGGGATTGTAACTAACAATAAGCTGGGAGAGGTGGGCGGTTTGAGACGAGTTAGGAATCAATTCGTAGGGCTGATGAAACTTATGTAATGGTAAAGAAATTACGTGATGGAGGGAAAATTCATGACTTTTCCTTTCCCAAGCCTCAGGTGGCTTCCAGGTAGCTTGAAAGCCATAGTTCCGAAAAAAGTTGGGCACGCCTTTAGTTCACATAATTTTTTCGTAATTTCTCATACATAATTCTAACTCCCCGTTCCCATATACACACCAATTTTGTCATTATTTCATTTTTTTTCGCTCCAAACGAGCCATTTGTTTGTTTGGGAGAGCATGCCGCCATTGTGCCGGCCAAACGGACCCCTTATCAAAAGACAGCGGTATGCTAATTCGCAAAAACGATATCCCCTTTGCTTCTTCTTCAAAAACGGCTATCCAGCTCGCTTAGTAAGCCACCTGTGCCATACCCTGACCCCGCCTTCTTTGCTGTTTGCATGACAATTCAAGGACAACTAGAACCATAATCTTATAGTTTAATTTTTTTGTATAAACTTCGGATGAGATCATCCGCAAAAAGGATTGCGTCTTTCCAATTACACCTTGCATAAATCGAATATGTTTACTGGGAGGGAATGCACACCACAAGAAATATGCATGAGCAGACGTCATTCTGCTATTTTCATGCGAAGCGCCTAATAGCGTCACTTTCTTGCTAGTTATGATTGAAAGCTTTGTAGCTTATATGATTTTTCAGTTTTTTCAATATTTTTGAAACTAGCGTAGCTCCTCTTTTTGAAAAAAAACTGGAGACGAATTGGACAAAATGTTGACATCCAACATTAGGATCCAGTTCAGTAGTCCCTATTTGAGGAGTGACCTAAGCCAAAGAACTTTGACACGTTTCGGACCGCGAAATCGCGCGCGGCGAAGAAGTGTGTACTTTCAGCCATTAGTCAACACAAAGACCTTATTTCGTAGACTATGTGCTGAATCTGTAATCAGTATGTCAGATAAGTTCCATATCCAAAGTTCTGACATGAGTGAATTCGAAGTGTTTGAATTTTGTCGCTTGAGAGGGACTTCTGTGCATTCTTGAAAGATAGGAACAAGAACTCAGCTTCTAATAGTATCTAAAAGTATCTATGTTGTAAGCTATACCGAACAGTATTCAAACTACGGTTTTTCTCTCTGGAATCGAAGCAAAGAAAAGTTGCGGCGTCGCACGCTTCGTTCGCGTTGCCGCACTTCGTTGCGACTGTGTTCGATTTATGCTCATATCTCTCAAACAAATATCAGTGGCACAACTCTACAGGGTCATTTGAAAAGTAGGAACTTAGGCCTTTGACTTGATAACCTTGGACTAAAAGAAAACCTTCAGTAAACGTCAAAAAGATACTTCAAAAGCGTGCTGCACCATGTGCAGCACCGGTCCGAAATGTGTTAAGATAGGTTGTACCTTTAGCGAGCACTTTAAAACGGTTTTGACTTTCCGAAAGACTGATTTTTAACTATCTAGTAAACTGATCTCATGTAGAAGTGCAGATAACTAGGTATCAAAAAATCATAAAAGGTTGGAAGCTGTTGTGCATCTCTGGAACAAATTTCATTGTCGTGCGTTTAATGCAATCGAGGTCATCTTGACGCTTGATTTTTAAGTGTCGACTAGCTCACAAACCCGGCTGCGGGCCCTGTCAACAATATATTCGTACAGCATGCTCACTTACCCCCCCCCCCCCACTTGTGCCAACTCCACCCCTTAATTCGAATTTTCCGAAAAATCAATAAAATCGGTATCTCGATGACGAAAAGTAGCTTGTGACACCCGTCCCGCCCCAAAGTGTATGTGTGCAAAGTTTGGACCGGATCGGTTCACAAACAAAAATTTCTATTCGGAACATACGTACGTACACATACAAACAGGCATTCAGCTTCAAATATAAGATTATGACAGTTTTTAACTGTTTTATTCATTACTAACTATCGAAAACATCATGTATTCAATTCGAACAAGTTTACGGAACCTTTGCCTCTTACCAACCACATTCACCTGGTGCCGCGCAACTTTTACATCTAAATGATTGATTCGAGATTGTAGTATATGTTGTAGATATTTCGAAGATCAAACTGATCGCAGTAAAACGCAGGCATTCTGCTCATGAAGAAAAAGAGAATATAAAATTAACGACGTCGTTCACAAATGCCTACGGTCAATCGAGACTGGACCGTGCTAGAGAGTCAATACAAAGATGTGAGTTAGTCCCGTGGGAAAATTTTCAAAGGGTTCAAAAGGTATAAGGTATTAGTGGGGATGCGGCTAATTCCTAGTCACTCTTACAGAAAATTCCTGTCGCACTCTATCCTGAAACACCTTCTCGCTCCTGTACTGTGAAGGCAAGGCAACTCAATTGTAAAAGTTGATAAGCATGCTCCGAAAATTCATCAGTAAACAGACGGATACCTTTTTACATTCAATTCCAAGAGTAAAGCTGGATATTAGTTCGTGCGAAAAGTTGAATGTCTAGGCGATGCCTATTTTGGTAGGGCTGAGAACGATGTAAGGTACATTCGATAACCACATGAGACTAGGTGAAGATATAAATGGGAATTAGAGCCTTAGTCGTCCACCTTCGACGCTATAAAAGCTAGCATGACGTAATACAGCGACCTCTTCCCTAGCCATTTCCTTCCTTTTCCGATTACGTAGCATTAGTACGACGTTTTTGGGCATTAGATTGATCCTACAAATGGAGAAGGAATTATGGAGAAGGAAGCGACTATATTACGATGATGTATAGATCGCTATGAGAAAAAGGCTTGGGAGAATGAAATAAAATCTCTAAAACCAAAACGTTAAGTTTCTTCTCTAGATCGTAAAAACCTTCAATTCGAGTCGGAGCATGAGCATCCCAGCTACTAAGACTTCGTCTCGGACATCTGGAGGAAAGCCTGCGAAAATGAAAGGTAGATTTTTTGCTTCATACGTATAAAGCAAAAAACTGTATGGATTGTTGAGCAGGAGGCTGGACAATATTACATTTACAACAATTACATGACCCTATGATGAGCTATAGGCTCGATTTTTCAAGAATAATCGCTCTGATTGCGATTGTTACGAGAGTTAACTTTTATTTTTGAAGCGTTCTCAAATTAACGTATGTACTGTTAATAATGTCAACTCTAAAGACAAGATTACTCTTCAGAGAGCAGAAGCAGAACACTCCTCGTTTTCGAGTACGGTACCGGGCGGAAGTTTGAATCGAATTTTTTGGCCTCGTATGAGTCACATGAGCTTCGCCTTGGGCGATGGCTTTAGAGCTTAAAGACATATCTAGAAAAATCGCAGGAGTACTCATTTTGGCTGCAGTATCTTAAATCACATTGGTTGCTGCGCAAAGAGAATATGGTATGAGATCGGAGAAAGAGGTTAGAGATTATGGTAACGGACACGATGTGCAGATGATAGTTAGTTGAAAGACTGGAAGAGGTACAATAATAAGTTGATCCCGCCCCCGACACGCCCACCTGCCGCCCCCTCCCCGTTCCTCCCATCTTCCCTCCCCCCATGAAGGGATCTTATGAAGTCACGACTGATTTTGTTGATTATGTTGCTGCGGGATAAGGAACGGCTTCCTGGTAATCATACATTTTTAGACTACGAGTGAGCTCAAAAAGACAAAAATCAGAGCAAAAGTTTTACTTCTCCTTTCTACTCCAAAACAAGCAATCCTCCCAACCCTCCCCTATTTTTCTCGAAATTTATGCAGATGTAGAACTTTGCAACTTTTGCCCTTTTAGAAGAGCTACAGAAAACGTCGAGAACACTGGATCGGCAATGTGCATAAGGACGAGAGTCTTGAACTCTGCATTTACCAATATGTGTGAAATGCTAAATGCCAATTTTGCAAAACCCGCAAGGCTGCACGTGAAATTGCACATATAAATTAGCATGTGCTGCAAAGAACCATGCACTATATTTTTCTGAGGTCCAATTGCCTATTCAAACAGTAAAATGCTTTTTCTCGTCAATAGGGTGCGATAGATTATGGCTCTTAGGAGTTATGAAAATGCATATTTTGCAGAAAAGCTTGAACGTGGTTACTTGAAAAGGAAAAAGAATGATTGCGAAGTAATATAATAGAAGGAGAATATGACCAGAGGAGAAGTGAATGCTTTCAATCAGCGTCACAAGTTATGGGAGGAAAGCTTGCAGAGAAAGTGAAATAAATCTCGTTTGTCTTCTTCAAATAGATCTTCTACTTGGTAATATCAAATACAGGGTCCCAGAAATTGTCTTACCGCTCGATTGTTAATAAGGGTTTATGCAGGATTTCGTAGAGCTTTCTTCAACATAGATTTGCAGTATGGAGCAAATTACCGCACTCTCTTCCCTACTGTAGGATTACCGTAGGATAGAGGAGGGTTTTGCATTATTGAGGGTCATTTACCCTGAAAAAGGACCAAGGAACTGAAATTTTAGGTTGATCAAAGTCGCTTATTCAAGTCGCACACCGAAAAAATTTTTGGGACGCTTTTCAAAAATTGTGTGGGTCTATGACGCCGAAATTTTTGGAAAAAGAGGCATGGCAGCAGTCACGTCCCCGAAGATTTTTTTACAAGGCTGAAACTAATTTTTGAAAAATCTTGAAAATTATAATTATTGACAAGTACGAACAAGTTACTTGCACATTTTTATAACTCATGTGAGTAACTTTCAAAATTTTGCGCTATCAATACTTGCACATATGTTGCGCATTTGTTACAGATGTCCGCGCGGCACTTTCTCTTTCGACGATAGTGCTCCACGTAAAACGACGAAAACTAAGAGCAGCGTCGTATTTCCCGGCTGCTGAAATTTGGTAATCGGCCACCGATCAGTATCAGCCAAAAATAATTGAGCGATTTCAAAAATTTAACTGAAAAATCATCATGGATTACGATAATCAGTGCAGGTCCCACATATTTAACTCGCCTGGTTATGAAAGCAAAAAAAATTTTACACCGAAAAAAACAAAGACTGAGCACGTGATTTTTAGCAAAAAAGTAGCTCAATTCTAGCTTCCGTATATATGCTGCGTATATATGCTCGCCTATTTTTGGAAAGCGAAGAGTTTCTAAGAGCCAGAGCTAGTAATGCTGCAGACTTGTAAGCTCCAATATAAAAAATAGTTTAAAGTTCACGTGAGCTAACGAAAGTTGAACTCAGAGCGCACTCGGCGATAAACAAACCGAATAAACTCAACCAGCTGTGTGCTTATGGCCGTTTTAGTTTCGTTTAACGAAAACATAACTAGCAGACATGATCATAAAATGCATGCATATAGAGCACATAAAATTTTACAACCATTTAGTCTAGAACATGAACCACAGTAGAGGTGCAGAAAAAACAAATTCGAACAAGACTTCATCAAAACTTTGAGTGAAAATTGAAGCGACGTCTTTGAAACAAATTTTGAAATTCATGGAAAGAACTACTGAAATTACTGCTTAGGTTTTCGAGCGCAAAAAAACTTAATTTGGAGCTCCAGGCATTCAAAGACTAAAGTTACCTCTAAAATCGTCTATGAAACAGATGATATGCATGTGAAGGTGATGGCGTGCTTCCCTTTGGATACTGCTAAAAAAATTTGCCCCATTTCAACTCCATCGAGGTACGCCGGAATTGTGATCTAGTCCATGTTAACCTTCACCAAGAGAGATCTCATCTGTTTCTTAGATCTTCTATGCAGCAGGAATTCGGAGTTTAAGCTCATTATTCGGTTTACAACTGAACTCTTCGCGATTCCCAGAGATCTGATCTCAAAAAGATGTTTCTAACTCACAAAAGCAGGAAGACTTAGCGTCATTGCAACAGAGAACAAAAAGAAGGATAGAGTTTGACCAAAACTGAAAGATGAGCTGTTGATCCGGGATGACGGCAAATTGCAATTTGCTCATTGCTATTCACCTATGTACGCAAGTTTTTTGTCAATAAACGAAAAAACAATTAAGTGCTTGCAAGGTTACATATGTTTAGCTTTTTTTAAATAAAATGACAGAAAGGCCTACACAATTGTTCGCTAGCAATGTCCCAGTAAGAGTTAGTAAAGAAAGTATGACAGCCAAGCAAGAGGGAAAGGGGAGGAGGGAGGGTCGAAGCTGAAGTAGCAAGGTCAAATTTCAATACAGTAAGGGCCCAGAGTTCCTTATCGGTACCAGACTTGGAAAACTACTTTTCTCTCTCTCCTTTCTCCTCTCACTGGAAATTTATTCAATAGCAGAGCTTTAAGCTTTAACTCACATCAGAAAAGTTACAAATCGCAACCTCCTCAATTTTACAAATTCGTACATGAAAACTACATGCAATATTTTCAGATAAGTTCACTACCTAGCATTTTTTGGAGTAGGTGCTGTGATATAGAAAAAGCCAACAATAGACAGCCTATGTTAGCCTAGCACGATAGCAATACGTTTCATACTGAAGGCTTTGAGTAACACGTATAATTAAAAATAAATATTGCCTACGTTTTGTAGTTTTGCTGTGGTGGTGATGCTGTGTACTATTGATGCTCTACATCTTCGAAATTTTTATAGAAACTAATCAAACTTTGGCCATATAAATAAGGCCGGGAAAATGTCTGTGCGAAGAATACAGAATCACTAAAGTGCATCGCTTGCGCGCTAAGGATGGATTTCTGTGAGAGCATAGGAATTTTCTTCCAGTAAAATCGAATCTAATATGGGAACATCATTGATAAATACTAGCTCTTCAAAATTGCTTTGCTGATACGCGTAGAATATTAGAGAATATTAGAATATTGGAACTGAACTATTTTGAAGCGCCTGAGCAAAGACCATTTTATGCGTTCATGTTTTTGAGGTCCGAACGTCATTCTAAATGCTTATAATTATGACAGTCTCCTTTAATTGCTCCTAATTGTCTTTCGGTGATTTTTCGGAGAGACGTTGAAGAAGTGGTGAAAAATAAAAGTGCCTTAAAGATTTAAATCATTAATGAATGGCAGATGTGCGAAAATTGGTCCTTGTACACACAGAATAACAAGCTTTGTACGGAGATCACACTCCAGTAAGGTTTATGGAGTTCATACGGTTGATTTTTAACAGCAATTATAATTCACGTACTATGAAGCCGTACAAAACCTAGCGGAAAAAATGTGGAAAGTGAAACATTGAAAAGTGGATGAGTTTATCTTTTGTTAATGTTCCCCTAATAATGAATACACAATATTGGAAGAATCACACTTGAATACTACATATTTTCGTTTAGTCATCTATAATGGATTCTTTCACATCTTTCTTGAATGCCTTTTCGTTGATAAATTTCCCCTGCTTTTCAAACAAGGCTATCTTCAGTCTAAAACAAACTAGAAAAAAGCTTGAATCAGAAAAGATGAGCTGCTTCTATTATCCTCAATTTCATGACCATGGAGAGTTACTTTCACACAGCGCAGAATGTTCCCTTTTTTGACAAAAAAGGAATGATTATATGGGCTTACCAACACAATTGTTTTAATTACATACGTGAGTGTTATTTATTAAAAGAGCACAAATAGTTGGGGTTGGACCACACCGTTTTGCAAAACAAAGAGCACTAATTTAATGTTTTCACGAAATACTGTGAGTTGATTTAGCGAAATAACCGTTAGAAAACTTTTACTCATAAGGCTAAGAAACTCGAAGCAGTACTGTTTCGAATGTTATTTCATTCACAAAGCTAACTAGAGATGCTCTTCTCATTCATGGGCATGTCAGCCGCAAAAGGTGGTTGATGAAAATGACGTAGGAAGTGGAAAGTGAGTGCCTATTTATGCCTAAACTGCCCCTAATCTTTGATCTACAACATATCTCTTACTTCACTGTCTTTGGCTGCTGTGGAGGCACCCTTCTGTAGGAGTGGCTTGAAACCAGAGTTACAGTATGGAGCGAACTATCGACCTCCGCTACTGTAAAATTACGGTAGAGACTCGAAACATATGGCGTCAAAGTGAGTAGGCCGTCTGGAAAAGTCTTCAAAAGAATCTAGAATGTTTAACAGGGTGTTGTTGTTGTTTAACAATGTTTTCATATTCTTACGAGATTTAATGGTTTGATGTTTTCCAAGATTGTCGAAAAAAAACCTGTTTCGGCATTTCTGGCATAACAAGGAAGCATTACTGTAAAGTATTTAGTATGAAAATTGATTTGATTAGCCTTGTGTAAGAGTTTTCAATCTGTTCGGTTCCCTTCCAGATTTGAAATATATGTCCGCTTGTAAGATCAGCACATCAATACATGGAAGAAGAAGGACAGAATGTATGCGGCAGATATGGATGCAACGGTGAAGAGATCTATTGTGTTGTGATACTCTGCAAATGCAACTGCCGAAGTGCTCGGAAAGTACATCATCGAGCTTGATCGCCAAATTTAGATTTTAATTTTGTGCCTCTGTGGATAATGTTGTATTGTTTCTGTATTGTTTCTGTATTGTTTGGCTGAGGGCTTGCTATTGTTTTTGTCTGTATAAATAACCCGGCCGTTTGATTTCTGTATAAATGACCCGAAAATGAAAAGTCTAAAGCATAGATCCGCCGTCCGATCGGATCGGACAGCGGATCTATGCCTTAGACTTTTTTGTGATTCTTATTCCTTCTCTCTCTGAGGCCCCTAAGGGTCTTTTCCCCCGTAGTCTCTTCTTATATATAAAGCTGAATGTCTGTTTGTCTGTCTGTCTGTCTGTATGTGTGTACGTATGTTCCGAATAGAAAATTCCATTTCTCAACCGATCCGGACCAAACTTGGCACACATACACTTCGGGCCCCGGCGGGTGTCACAGTCCACTTTTCGTCATCGATCGACATCGATTTTATCGATTTTTTGCAAAATTTGAGCCACGGGGCTGGGAGTTGGCACAGGGGTGTAATCGAACACGCTGATCACCCCCGTGGGGGTGATCAGCATGTTCGATTACCCCCCTCTGCCAAATTTCAGCCCCCTTGCTCAAATTTTGCAAAAAAATCGATAAAATCGATAAAAGTAATGCACGATATTGAAAACTAATATTGTATTCGGAATCCCCATGCTCACCTACCCCCCTCTGCCAAATTCCAGCCCCCTAGCTCAAATTTTGCAAAAAATCGGTAAAATCGACATCGATCGATGACGAAAAGTGGACTGTGACACCCGCCGGGGCCCGAAGTGTATGTGTGCCAAGTTTGGTCCGGATCGGTTGAGAAATGGAATTTTCTATTCGGAACATACGGCGGAGCCGGGTAAGCCAGCTAGTTTCTTATGTAATGTTCCTATCTTAGTAGTAACACAACAACTTTTGAAGTAGGTGTATCGTATTTTGTAACTTTTGAGTAGTAAATAATTTAAATTATAAGTGTTTTGTGAATTTCCTTGTGTGGAGTCGGAGCCAGACGGTTCAGCCGAGGCCCCTTTAGTACCGGACTCGCGTGCTGCGGGACCGAGAAAGAGAGGCGCGGCTGACACCTTAACACATTTACAACAAGGCTGATTTTTCGATTACTCCCGTTTCGGACCAAAGCCTTTTTCGCTCTGTCAAACTTACGACCCACCCGTGGGTCGTATTGTCCGAAGTGGTAGTCTTTTTGGAAGAAATTCAAAATATGTCTCCGAGAATTTCCCCACGAGGGTTATCGAAGGCGTGGTTACCAAATTATAAATTTCAGTTTTTGACATTATGCGGTAAGGCGTAGTCATTCTGTACGAACCCAACATCATGGATTTTTATGAAAAATTGTGTTTTGGTGTTATTTGACGTGCTGATCACGATTATAGGGTCCACTTTGTTCACTACTTCCCCAAGGTGGAACTACGGTAGCAGTGCATAGAATTTTCGTAAGAATCAAGAAAATGATGTAAGAAGGCGGTATTAGAACTTGAGACTATCATTTTCGTGATCAGCATCTTAAAAAACCTATATGTGTAAAGTTTGAGCTTACTGAGATGAACAATTCGAAAAATCAATAGAATCAATAAAATCGATAATTTTTGATGGGCTGACTACAGTCTCGTGCCCTCCACGTATTTCTCGTGCATGTAAACTTGAATTTTCAAAAACAGCACCACTCTGCGAAAATTTTGAGCTACTGTGCCTTACCTCTATCTACGGTATACCTACCGTAACATTACTTTACAGTATCCCGAACTCGGACCTCTCTGGCTGGAGCTTCGCCAAGGTGTTCCCAATCATTTGCCAGAGCCCCGTAGAATTCCATCGTATACTGGCAAAGCCAAAGTTTCAGGAATCTTACGACCCACCGGTGGGTCGTATTGTCGTGAATGTGTTAATGACCCAGTTCTCTTCAGGGTTCCTACCGTATGCCTACAATGATGAAGAGAGATGAGTAATTCCGTACAGTGAATGTAACTGTGAGTTGAAGCCAGCTCTACAGAAGATGCAGTCTAACAGCGGCTAATGATCGATACAAGGGAATTGCTACGATCAAGCAGCAGACTCAATTTTTGGGACATCCTGTATGTAGGAAACATGAGAGAATTTGATTTCTGCTACAAAGTAAGGAAAAGCGTTGGGCAAGATTGGATCTTTTAGAAGGAAAAAACCCATAACGCAGTCATGTATACGACATTTCATTTCCTTTGCATTGCGTTTACATGCGTCACTTGACAGAACGTAGAATGCAAAGTCGGGTGCGTAGCAAGTGTTACCCAGGCAGCCGCCTGGTGTCGCAGCCAGCCGCCAGAGCTGGCACCAGCGTCGCGGCTGAGCTACCGTAAGCGCGCTCTCTCGTCCGCAACCTCTCGCACAGAGATTTTCGCAGCAGCCTCGCACTTCTCGCGCTGAGGTGCGAGAATTCCCTCAGAGGTCGCGCTACTGCCACATATCATATATCGATCAAGACAGCGGAAAATTTGTAGTTTATTAGTAATATACATTACAAAAAATATTTTAAAAAAACAAGAAAAAGTTAAATAAATAAATTGATGAATGATTATAAAATTAAATTAAAGGCATAATATCGTGGAGTAAGTTCATAAAAATATAAAATAGATTTTGAATAGTTTTTTGGCACAATTCGTTGTGACCTTTGGGGCGGAAGACTTCTAACACCAACTAGGTCAGATATTAGAAAAAGTGTGCTACATATGGAGGTATAAAAGATGAAATGATGCTGAGCAGCTAAGATTCGAGATGTCAAAATCCGTCGTTTTGGAGGTATTTTTTGATTTCTTGCTTGTTACCGAATCTTTTTGAAAATCTATCAATCCCAAAATCCGCTACCTGCTACAAGCCAGCTCTACTCTTCAGCCGCTGAAAGTCGTGAATTTTGTGGTGAACTCGAAATAAGTGAGCAGGGGGTTCACCCTGTAATTGTATATGATGTCCCAGGCTCCCTTTGCTACGTTTTTTAATATCACAAAAAAACTTCAAGGGCCGACACGGCACCTTATACTTGTCGCGGATGTAGGAGGCAAAACAAGAAATATACTTCTGTTGCGATACGTAGATGACTGTTAGCTGATTTTTAAAAGATTTTTAAAATTAAAAAAAAATAGATTTTTTTTAAAAGATTTCTCTTTAGGTAAACAATGATTTACTTGAACATGATTCCTGGCTCTTGAGTCACAACTGTATACCCATGGACAGAAATAAAGACAAAGCAAATCGTGTGGCTTATGAGGTTTTTTGGAGATTTAAAATTTACTTGTAGTCCAAAAAATGTTGCGAGTTTAGAGCTGCCAGAAAATAAAAAGGGGACCACAAAAACAAAGAATAAGCCCCGGTGTCCACTTCAACGAAACCGCCTTCTCGATTTTGAAAACCATGGAAATGTGGGTGCCCTGACTATAATACAACAAGGTTCAGTAGAAAGACCAAACATCTAGGCCTTAGGCAGTTTATTAAGGGAGCAAAAAGAATTGAGCTCCATAAGTATATTTGATTTCTTTTTCGAAATTTCCCTGAAATTCCAGTACATTAATTTTCTAGGAAATTGCGCGGTTTGTTAGGGAGAAGAACGCACCCTCCTTTCGAGCAGCTTCTCGAGTGCTTACAGAGAATATCAGTTGTCGCGCTAGGCACTCTTCTCCATGTCTTGGAGGTTGCTCAAATTTTTTGTTTGATATTTTCTAGTCCTAGGCATTTGTAAAAAAAAATTTCAGCATCCTCGAAGCGTGAAGCCATTACGAAAGAAGGATGTGTTGCGCCGAAATAAGATTATTGATGCGATGCGCAGCTTTAGAGAAGAATATGAGGCAGGAAATTACATACCAACAGCTTCTATAAATAGTTTTTGTATTAAAATGTCGAAATTTGTCACAGAGAAAACCATTTGACAGCAGTGCGGATGTAAGATTGTAAATTTGATTGTGATTTTCATTTGTGATTTTTTGTGTTGTTTTTTTATTTATTTAACTTTTTTTTGTTTTTGTATATTTATTGTAATGTATATTACTAATAAACTACAGATTTTCCGCAGTGTTGATCGATATATAATATGTGGCAGTAGCTCGACCTCTGAGGAAATTCTCGCACCTCAGCGCGATGAGGTGCGAGGCTGCTGCGAAAATCTCTCTGCGAGAGATTGCGGACGACGAGAGCGCGCTTACGGTAGCTCAGCCGCGACGCTGGTGCCAGCTCTGGCGGCTGGCTGCGGCACCAAGCGGCTGCCTGGGTAACACTTGCACGCCTCCCTGCAAAGTCGGACAAATGACGTCATGTTCACGTTCCGTGGAAAATCTCAGATTACTGGATTACGGATAAGGAGAAAATGTGGTGACAATACTGAGCACACCATTTTCCTTCATTGCGAGCAGAGCGCGTTTCACGGAAATTGATTTCGTAACGAAGATAGTATGCACAATTTTTTAATTGAGAAAAGTTCTGATTTGACAACATGTTTGAATAGGAAGAACCAGGCTTTTTTTACGACTAGTATTTTCGTTATGACTAGACTTTGATCAATATCAGGTTAACTTCTAATAGACCTTTATCTCCATTTAGTTGTAGAAGCCCGAACCTTTTTTATAACCGGAGAATTATATTGCAAATTTAAACGCATATATAAAAGCTAGATTTTCTTCTCCATTGTTCGCACGCAAGTAGATAAAATTTAGATTAGCGAATCTCGATTCTCTCTGCTAGGACGTACCAGGTTGTGAAGAAATTGCTGCTAATTCTCATCATAATTACCAAAAATGAATGCGAAAGCGAGGGGCTCCTTTGATTGTGTTCTTAACGGATGGCCCCAGTTGCCGAACACACTATGCAGCCCGAAGAAATAAGATAAGCTGAGAAGAGATACCCAAAAAGGAGAACAATCCGTTGCGCTCCGGTCTACGAAAAGGCATATTTTTTCATATTATAGGCGCGGAACTTGCAAAAACTTGATTTGAAAATCCGTTTTATACCCTTCGTATTGGCCAGACTAGTGAACCAATAATTAAAGGTGCTACATTGCATCCTCGCGCGCGCTGGGACCGCCACGCGGTTTCCCGCTATTTGCAGATTTTTAAACTGCGCTTACGTTTCTTTACTCAGACACTCGCGGTTGACTCGCGCAGGGCAAAACGATGTGTAGCCATTGAATGCGTGGGCGACTCGCGAAATCGGTGTCGCGGCAAAATCAGGACACCTGATTTTGTGTCGCGGCAAAAGTGCGCGGCAAAATCGGGGCAAAATGGGGAGACCTGCGCGAGACACCAAAATGTCGCGATCGCGTTCAGAGCACGCGGCCTACGCCCTTACTGACAGCTTTTTGCGTCCTCTAAGCCCTCTCTCACGCCTTCCTTTTGACTTACCTTGAGTCCTTGGTCACGTTGGGTCCCGTTTCCCACGCTTGTTTTTTTTCTGCTGATAAACCCAGTCTTACGTCATAAAATTTATTAGCAAATACCACTGATCTTCTCGAGTAGCGTTTACAATAACATCGAAATGAGACAGGAATCAAAGCACCGCAATCACGACACAAGGTTACGAAAGAACTACGGTTAAGAATGACAACAGCATTAATTTTTTACGACTACTCCATCTTCATCTTCAACGTTTTCAGTCTTCTGGATCGTTACGCCTTCTTTGGTAACACTGCTGCCTTCGACCATGACGCGCTTTTTCTGAAAATAAAAAATTATTGTTACCAGGATCGTATAAAACAAACGAATTACCTTTGATGGAAGGAGCATGGACCTATCAGGGTCAAAATGATACCTCCCGATGTCTTCCCTGCAAAAATATAGTTCAGAAGTATCGCTTTCCTTATGAGAAAACTCACAAAGCTCTCCCATTTGCTATCCTAGCCTTACCGCTCCATACTACTCTTTCCTCTGAGAGGACGTCGAATAATTTTTCGCAAGCGTCGTCATTTTCGGCTAAGTCCAACCACCACCTAAATTCTAGTGCACATGAAGGTCTTTCGAGAACATACATACTTATTTGGATTCCGTTTATGCTCATCTGGCGTCCGCAGAAGTTGGTCGCGGTGTAGGCCAAGGGCGTCAAGGATGAAACCTAAATCAGTTATTGAAAGTAATGTACTCAAACACACATTGACCCACTTATTAAGAAATCGACTAATCCTTTCGGGAGGTCCTTAAGATAGTCAAATTTCTCCTTCTTCCCGCTCTGTCTACAGGCGTACTGTTGAATTTCCGTAGATGGTTCGCAGGCCTAAACGGTGATTACAAGACGACCTTATCATCTTCATCTATCTGTCGCTTACATTTAGAAAGAAGTGGCGCAAAAAGTCAAGCACCAAAAGGAAATGATCATGCTTGTGCGCGAGTTTTGGTCTCTGCCACTTTTCCATGACTTCAACCATATTGAACTCCTGAAACCAATAATTTTTCCTCGTTGACTGAGAATAGTGGCTAAAGACCTTGAAGGGTGGTGCACTCTCACGATGCCAGATCAACGTGTTTTTATATTTAGTATCAAACTATTCATGAGCATGTGTGGCAGTTTATCACAGAATGCTCAAAACACAATAACGTGATTCAAAAAATTGCTCTGAGCTTGCTCAAAGCCTTTGCTCCTTTCGAGTGGTTTGCGCAGAACTTCGCATGGACCGAACTTTCTAGCTAGCTACCCCACTACCACCTGCGGCGAAAACATAATTGCAAATGATGAATAAGCTTCCCATCAAGTATCCATGTTGATTGTACCTGTTTTACATGTTTTTGATCCAACTGATCTACCAACATTGCCCAATTCAGAACTTTGCACGATTTTTCCATTATCTCCGAGATTTGATGTAATTAAGTTGCAATGAGGGTTTCCTTGCCTTAGGGACCTTCTAATATAACCTTAAACAACTTGCAAAGATTGTGGCTGCAAAAGTGGTCCGAACTCTTTACCACTTGCTCCATAGTCTCCGCAGGTATCCACTCGACCACCCGTCCACATCTGCATGCCCTTGGCGCCGCAAGCTCAATGCGAGCCTTAGCCGCATCTTGGGTAAACCATCGCTCATAACTTTGCCCAGAAAATCATTGAGCAGCTAAGGATCACGAATTTGGCATTAGGACCCCAAGAGCAGCAGAATGATATGCATCATGTGTGGAAACCCCTCTTCGATGGATGATCCTTCCCTTGTAAGTAAATTCCGAATTCCGGCTAAGCCAACTGTCAGAAATGATGACGGGATGCGGGATGAACAATGTGCATAAACTCTTTCATCTTCCGAATTGAGTACAAATCACTGAAAAAAAGGCGAGAGTCAAATGAGTGATTTTTCTAAACTCGTGAGATGCGGTACGATAAATGTGAGCTATGCCAGGTAAATTTTGAACTGCAATTATGTACTTTAAATAATATGGAACTGGAACCGGCAATATCGATGCCAGTTTTTGCACAGAGTTGAACCGTAGATGACATTCTTTATGTGATGAAAAATCTGCTTTAAGAAGTTCAGAAAAAGCATTACAAGCAACCGCAGTTCAAAAATCGCATAACCTCCAAAATTTTGAAAATGACTGTCTTGTAAGCTCATACCATTTTAAGAAATGAGCAACCGCAAAAGAAGAACATTACTTTCTCAGTTTCATAAATAAAAACATGCCTTCTCATTCAGCTCTTGCACGGCCGGAAGATCACTATCCACTTGTGAATCGACATTCTCGCGGCTTTCATCATTGTCATTAACATTCTCTTCTTCCTCTTCTATAAAATCCTGGAATGAGCTTATATCATAGGTGAATCATGGTAGTCATAATGCGGAAACTCTTCCGACCTCCTCAAGAACAGGATTACGCTTAGGTCGGCGTTCCCTTCTTGGCTTCGGGGATCGCAACGCAAAATCGTCATCCCATTCGTTTTCGTAAAAGCGCTTGAAAACCAAAATAGTACACGTTAGCATAAATACAAAGTCCAGTAATCAGCTAAAGTAAGCAAAACAATCTAAGAATGAAATATAACTTCTAGAAAGAGAGAAAAAGGCTTCACCTTTACTTCCGGATGATGATCAACGCAGATAATGGCCGTGTGATCAGAAGGACGCGTTCGAAATGAGCGTCTCAAGCTGATTCTCTTTGGTCTAAGCCTGGTTTTTATCGGCATGGAACGTCTCTGGAAAGACATGCTTTGCTAAGTATAGATTCATTTAAGGAAAAAACAAATGCAACAAATGCAGGGAAGAATTGATCAATACGTCGACGTATAGGTGCGTTATTTCGAAATCCTCGCCCGTCGCGACAAAATCGCACTAAAATCGGGGCGAAACTAAAACGATGACTCGCGCCGGTCCACCGGATTTTGCCGCGAACGTCCATTTTGTGGGCGGATCCCCTGCGCGAGTCAACCGCGAGTGTCTGAGTATATATTAGATGAAGCGACATCCGACTATTACTTGCTCCCACACCGGAGTCTTTCTCCAAGCAAGTTATAGCTTGACTCTAGTGTTCGAAAAATTGAACTCTTCACTCGCGCGCTTCTCGAGAAAGAGAACCCATAAAATAACCCACGATAATCGGTAATATAAGGTTGTCACTATACATGGCCAAGATATCGTTGATTGACAGCCCTTTTAAAGAAGATATAAATGAAACAATTTAGCTCAACCTCTATTGGCAGAACTTTCTTTACAACCTAATACTATTACATGTAGAAAATTTTTTTTGTTGCCTCAAGTTTCCCAAAAGACAGGCTAATTTCATGATTGCCACTGTATTCACTACAGCTTCTCGTCTGAAACGCATATTCCAATAAATACTGTTTTTAGTAATTCAATTTTGTTAATTATACAAATGATCATAGCGAGTAATGCAAGGAAGTTGTAGAAACACGGCAAAACACGCTATGTAGTCCATAGCACAAAGCATTTCTCAAGAATTTGTGAGCATTAGAAATGAGGCTTTTTTACCAAGGAATAATCTGTTGGCGTGCATCGCACCCAGTTTTTGCCCTATGACTTGGTAGATGACAGATGAGCTGAAGAACGAATGAGACACATTGACTTGCACGCAAGTCTGACCTAATATCTAGCAAAATCTTCAGAAAACAGAGAATTAACGAAAAGGTGGTGCACATTTAGTCGCATTTTTGCAGCATTTTGCGTAAATTTAGACGTTATCTAAAGGCATTTTGATAGACTTAAAAAAGCGAAATGCTATCGTAGGAAAAAAATATGCAGAATTAGTCCTGCATCAAATACTCATATACATTCCCACTTCCCTTCCATCGAGAGACATTAGGATCGTCTAGTTTTGCGATATGTGCATGACAAGTAAGAAGACCTTGTTTTCAACACCACCAATACACTGATTAAATTTGAAGAAATCTCAAAACATTGAAATCCTACAAATGCGCCGGGAAACCCTCAGTCTGTCCACTGCAATCAACTGGCGTAGCGCTTTTTAATGAAATTTCTCTTGCTCCTACAACTCTTCCTCTCAGTTAAAGATGTATCACCAAAGGTACGAATTTGCAGCCAAATGAGTCGGATAGATGAACCAAGTCGTCTTTTAGGTCCTCAGCGTTGGACTGCTATGTGCCTACAACAATTCTGAAATTACTCAGGTAGTTCTTTTAGCTATATTCAGTGTTTCTTACATGATATCCTTGCAAACAGTCTCGCTACATTCTCAAAAATGGTGTAGATCATCTGTGCGCACCGTAAGTAAGATGCTTCACCGGTATTCATAAACAAATAATACATAAATAAGTCATGAAATCGCATCTAAATTTCGCGCGATTTTGAGCGAACACGTTGGAGCATGTCAGCCATGAATCAATTTTACAGATTAAATGAGGTATGACATGGTTACCTAGGTATGTACATGTTCAACATGTTCCGCGATAACTCACTGTATACATTTTACCAAAAAAAAAAAACGAATCCCAATCTCCGTTAGTTGTGCAGAACCCCGCTTCCAGCCCGACCTTTGCCACATCGTCCCAAGTACTCTATATTTAGCAAGTTTTAAATACGCTTGTAGCGCCCATGGTACAGCGAATAATATAGGTATACTATTGATACATAGTGGTTCTAGAAGACGAACTCTCAAAGGCAGCGTCCCGGTAGAATTTCGCCTTTCAATTTTTCATCTATTCGGAGCTTTTTCGCCATAAACAATCCATATTTGGGCTTTTCAGTGCATGAAAATTGCAAAAATGAGTTTTTTTTCTTTGAAGGTTCCCAGCTCCGCATTCAGCGAAAATACGCCGAAAGCCTTCCGCATCCCGCCTCCCTCGTTTCGGGTCTAGCCCACTTACACGTATTTTCCAATGAATGCGGACCTGGAAAGCTCCGGAAAAAGCTCACTCTGGCCATTTCCATGAACTGAAAAGCCCAGATATGGATTCCTCATGGAGAGAAGGCTTCGAAAATATGGAAAACTGGAAAATGAGATTTTGCCGGGACACTGCCTCCAAAGGCATCTTCTACCCTGAGTTATGGGTCTTGAGCTTTCGGCAGCATACGATAGTAAGGTCCTCTATGCTGAAGATCGCGGCGGGATATAGCTCCGGAATAGCAAGAAAGCGAGGATCCTTGGCGACAACGCCCATGCGAAAACCCGTCCATCCGTGCTTGCCCATCCAGCTGCTCCTCAGAAACCTCCTTGCGAGTTTCTCGGAACGGAGTTGTCGGGCTATCGCGGATTTTCGACTTCATATTCAGAATAAGAGACATGAGAGGGTCCTGGAACGACAAAAACATGAAAGTCGAGAATCTGGGTGGACAGTGCTTCAAGAAGTGCCGAAAAGGCTCTGTGAATATGGCATACCGCTAGACTGGGACCAGAGTGGTATACGAGTTGATGGGAGATTCCTGTCGAACTTTCGTTTTGCGGACGATGTCGTTCTCTTTCGAACACTATCACAGAACAAGGCGATGCTGAAGGAACTGAACGAAGTATGGGTAAAGATCGGATTGCGAAGAAATCGGAAGATTCAGTTCATAAGGAACGCCGTCTGCGAAGATGCAGAAATGGAACTGGAAGGCGCGCTTATCATGGAGGCGTCTTCTTACGTGTATCTCGGACGTTTGATGAACATGGAAAACAACTTGAGGGAAGAACTTAACAGGAGAAGAAGAGCAGCCTAAGCCGCCTTCGGGCCTCTGAAGGAAGTCACCGACCAACTGACGGACCCGGAGCTTCGTGCCCACTTGTTCTCCCGGCCTGTTACGCAGCTGAGACTTGGTTGGGCTGACACCGTAGCCACGCCGGAAGCTTTGAGAACCGCTCACAGAGCGCTAGAGCGTAGTCTGAAGATGACCCGACACAAACAACATGTCGGACTTCGCAGTACGGATACGAGAAGAATGTTCCACTTTGTGGCCCAGCGGAATAGGTTGCGAAAGCGAAGCATCGATGAGCCGGTCACATCATGCGAAGAGACACGATAGATGAGCACCAAGAACATCAGAGTGGATTTCTTTCAAAGCAAAGCGCCCCGAAGAATAGCTTCAACGAGATAAGCGCACATGCTCGTGCGGATGGATCCGTTGAGAGATGAGAAAGGCCATCTAAGTATCTCAGTAAGTAGTGAAAAGTAACACAGGAAAGCAATTTGTTTAGGCGCTTGAATGTCATCATTATTTTTCTTACCACGGGGAAGCAAGAATGAGAATCCTAGATTGATTTTTCAGTATGTGGGATGGAGGCAAACTGCGGGTGCGGTTGGTGTGGCTTGGGATAAGATCAAAGAATACGATATTTTGCCTGGATATGACACACTCAAGTAAGTTTCTCTGTTATTTTCATAAACCGATTTAATGTTTTTTTTTTGTAAGTTGTCGATAATTGCATTTTTCGTACTTCGAAGATGTATAGGAGAGTCATCGCATGCAAAGAATAGACGCAGTTGCGTACAAAAAAGATTTTTTGTGCAGAGACAGCAGACGGTACTACTTTTAGTCGGGAAGACAGCGACAATGTCCGCAGTGGCATTCTGTCTCTGCATGCTATGAATCGTCTACAGTCGAGTAGATTTAGCGGTAAATATAGTGTGCTTGCACAGAAGGTGAAATGCGGTGAAATTTGCGCGTGAACAAGTAGCCACGTCAGTACCGCGGGTATGTTGCGCGCGCAATTGGCCGGCGTCACACTTGAAACTATTTCTTCACGCGCCAATTTTACCGCATTTCACCTTTTGTGCAAGCACACTATATTTACCGCTGAATCTACTCGACTGTATGTGCAGATCGCATCAAATTTGTTTACTTTGTGCTTCTTTTATCTATGAGCTTCAAGAGATTTATGAATTGATCGGTTGATCTAAAACAAACTTGTTCATTTCTCAACAGATAACCAACTTTTTGTAACTCGTCTTCTGTTTTTTTTTTCATACGAGTTTGACATCTCAGTAATCCTATGAAGTCTTACATGAATGTCTGTGAGCTTAGCTGCTCATTTGTTGGATTCGCGACTATGTAGAAAGATTGGAATCTACCAACTGATGTTACTTGCTGTAAGTTTTTTTTCAGTCTGACATGGACTATGGGTGAATGTGTGGAGTCGACAGATGCTGGAGCGGTGATTGCATGGGCTCAGTCGGGTGCAGATGCAGTATTGGGGCCAGCTTGTTCTGCTTGTGAGTTTTCTTTACAGTTATGCCTCATCTCGCTAATATGGTCACATTTGAGCTGCTCTTATATCTGGAACCGTTGGCAAGTATTTCAATTTCCCGATCATGGTTTGGGCGCCTACATTCTCTTCTGATTTGCTGAATGTTCGCGAATATCCGACAACAGTCTCATCAACCTTTAGTTCTATCAAGTCAGTAATTTACCGCCATATTGATTTCTATATTCAGTCATTTTTTTCCAGCCAAGCACAGACACTCCTGCAGCTGTTTGAACGTTATCAATGGAGTGAAGTAGCGCTCATTTACTATGTGGCTAGAAGTAGCCTATTACCGCGCTGTTCTCTCGTAATGAACGATTTGGAGGTAAGAATCTTTTGTAAGATGGATTTGTTTTTACATCTCTTCAAACTTGTGTAATCTCAGCTTCTCATGAACGACTATTTGAATATAACCATCACGTATCGTAGACAGTTGCTAAATTACAATAATGACACTTTCAAGAATGCTTTACAAGGACTGAAAAGTGTATCAAGAGGTATTTTTGAAACATGGATTCATCCGAGAAAATCAAAAGAAAATGATCTTTAGTGACGGTATCTTGTTTTGAATCGGATGATGCTCGTAGAAATTATATGATTGCTATTGCTGAATCTAATATGGACACAGACGAGTATATGTGGCTCATGATCGAATCACGAAAGGCTGGATTTGGTGAGTTCATCACTTCTAATCTCTGCTATGCTCAGAAAGTTGAAATTTGTCGTCATATCATACGAGAGTGTCCAGGCAAACTAGGCGTAGTAGATTTGGGATTTTGTTCTATATTTTACTGAGGAGGCAACATGTCATTGCCCTAAAGGGCAGCTCCTCCAAACTCTCGCTTAATACCGTACTCGGGGGCACTCGCTACGCCCAGGAAAAGTGCGGTATGAGCGAGAGTGCGGTGCTTTTCCTTGTCATACAATATTTTAAGCAAACATATGGAAGGATAAATCAAGTAACCCCGATGGAAAAGACACGTTGGCGCTAAGAGCCGCTCGAAAATTCTTGATAGTAGGTATCATGTTCCTTGATCTTTTACACGAGATACAGATGAAATAAGCAAGACCAAATTTCTTCAGTTGGATCTTGAACCCTTGAATTCAACAGCACAGTTTGTTGCCGATGTCAAAGCAAAGATGAGGCAACCACCGTATAACTGCGGCGATTGCAATGATATCGATCCGGTAAGCGGGTTAAACGGTTTTTGATCTCCTTTCTAGGAGGATAAATTGGTAGTTTTTTGCAGACAGTATCACAAGTGGGTGAACTTGCTGATGCAATGCTATTATATGGCTTAGCTCTCAACAGATCTCTGAAGTCTGGCATTGCAAAGCCGACTGGCACTGACATAGCGCGCTTTGCCGTGGGAACTTTTGAAGGTATCGCCCAATTTCAGCAGTTTTGGGTCGATTTTGTGAAGAAATAGTCTTCAGGGTTTACTGGAACTGTCATCATCAATCGAAACCTATCTCGTGACCCAGTTTTCTACGTATGGGGTTTGAATACTTCGGATCAACAAATGATAATGATGAGGATTACAGGATCGCTTAACATCAATGATATTACGGTAGTAACACTGATAAATTTGACTACTATCCCCATAACGTCTACCCATTCTGTAGATACAAGAGGTCCAGCCGAAATCTGTGATATGGGCCAACCATGGCGGTTCACCTCCACTGAATAAGCCTCCTTGTGGGTTCGATGGGTGAGTTTATGACTTTAGAATTCCTATATCAACCCAAATAAATCTTTAGAAAGGCTTGCCCTCTATCATTCACTGAACAATATCTGGCGATCACACTTGGATCAGTTGCAGCTGGAGTGATACTTATCGGGATAGTGGTAGGCGCTATTGTATACGTTATGAGGTAAGTAGTGAAATTATTTTTGATACACAATGATTTTATTTTGCTTCTAGAGCGAAACGATTAGAGGAAGAACGCTTGAACCTCCTGTGGCAGATCCCTTTTGCGTCATTGGCCAAACCCAACTCAAAGGTAATTTCAATGTGAGCTTTCCGCGGAAAAGTTTGAGTTGCAGGCAGGAGCACAAAGCTCCCGATCGCTGCAAAGTTCGATGTCTACCAGTACGAAGTTGACCATTGATTCAAAGAGGGTATGTTGCTCTGCTGATGAGCTGATGAGAATAGAGATGAAATTGGTTTAGGATACTGTTGGGCATAGCTTCTTCTTGCTTGGGAATGACTCTGTTGTCGCGAGGAAGCATAGAGTGCGGACACTTTTGTCGAAATCTGACTGTGCTGACCTGAGAAAGGTGAGAGGGGTGAACTTTGGCTTTATCGCATAGATTTTCAAATCTCTAGCTGCGAAGCACCGACCACGACAATCTTTGTCGATTCATCGGCCTATGCATGGACGCCCCAGAGCTTCTTTCTCTTTGGAGATATTGCTCGAGAGGGTCACTAAAGGTGTCTTGAATTCCTCTGATTATTTTCTTTTCAAAAACAACGTCTTTGCTACAGGATGTGATTGAGAAGGGATCATTGCAGATGGATTGGTTCTTCAAGTATGCGCTTATCAGAGATATCTGCGAGGTATGCTAGTCTATTTTGAGATAACGCTGATACAGTACTGTTTAGGCTGTTCATTTCCTTCACCATTCCTCATTTGGAGCACATGGGTGGTTGAGCTCTTGCACATGCCTTGTAGATGAAAGATGGCAGGTATAGCTCAGATGTTTCGTGTACTTCATTTTCTTAGATTACGATCAGAAGCATATACTTCAAAATTTCAGGTAAAAGTTACCTACTACGGTTTGGACACTATCAAATCTTTGGAAGTCAAGGAGCAAAACAGTGAGTTGGCTCTAATCTTTCAGAAAATTTCTTATAGTTCAAAACACGGGACTGGTTCCTTTTCCATATTTGCTTCTTCCATTGCTATCTGTGCGTCCTGCGCTTTTCTTGTATAGAGACATTTTTAGAGCTGTTATGGACTGCACCTGAGCACATACGTGATCCATTGATGAAGGCTACAAAAGAAGGAGATATTTACAGGTTGCGAAAAAAAATTTTCAGCTAGCCCTATCATTTTTAATTGTAGTTTCGCTATCATTTGCTCGGAAATAGTGACAAAGAAGTCGCCATGGGATTTGGAAAATCAAGAATATGATCTTGACGGTATTATCGTCTTTTTCACATGCATAACTTGACCTGATGTTTTCTCCTTTCAGAACTGATCTACAAAATCAAAAGAGGTGGGCGAGCTCCAATTCGGCCCTCATTGGACACAGATGATGAGCACAATGCAAGCATGTCACTGCTGATCCGCGACTGCTGGGCTGAAGAACCTGACCAAAGACCGTCTACTGACCAGATCAAATCTCTAATCAAAGGATTCAACCATAACAAGTGAAGATGTTTATGTGCTTAGAGCGCGTTACCAAATATGATTTTTAGGTCGTCAAATTTAATGGATCATGTTTTCAACGTCTTGGAACAGTACGCTTCGAATCTGGAAGAAGAGGTGAGTTTCCTGCATATCTCATAAAATATCTAATCGAGTTGTTACGTTGTTCAGGTCCAAGCACGGATGAAGGAACTGACGGAGGAAAAGAAGAAAAGTGACATTCTTCTCTACAGAATGCTACCCAAGTGAGTCAAGATTGTTCAGATAATATACGTTTACTTGCAACGTCCTCAAAGACACCGACTTGGCAGTTTTCTGCAAATTGTTTGTACTGTTAGTAGTTGACACTTTAGTTAATAACAGCCTCAGGCCAGTCGTTTAATCCACATTCTGAATTCTGAAGACATATCCCTCCTTCCAGCCGTCTCTGGACATGTTTTCTGGGTCTAGCGTGAGGTTAGGGGCCATTAATTCTATGGTATATCTGACACCTAAGGCCGCGTTCATACTGATCCGAAAACCCGGTAACTGACTTCGGTCAGTATGAACGCAGCCTAAATAATACCACTAAATACTGACAGATCTATTCTGCTGAACCAGTGCCATTGGGACCGCTACCAATGATGTGGATCCGCCCCACATGACTTCTTAGCTTTCATTTCCGGAGTGATTTGAAGGATGCTTCAGGCGTCACAGCCACCTTACTTCAGGCAAGTGGCAGAGAAGCTGAAACTTGGTCAGTCAGTAGAACCTGAGACATTCGATTGCGTGACGCTGTTCTTCTCAGATGTAGTGTCCTTCACTACACTGGCCAGCAGATGCACTCCGCTACAAGTAAACACTTGAAGCGTTCTGGCACAAGGCATGATTGCATATTCAGGTTGTCAATCTTCTGAATGACTTGTACACCGTGTTTGATGCTATCATTGACGAGCATGATGTCTACAAGGTACGCCCTCCGGTCAAAATTTTCAAATGAAATTTATCATCAAGGTTGAAACAATTGGTGATGGTTACCTATGCGTATCCGGCCTTCCGCACCGAAATGGCAACGAGCACGCAAAAGAGATTGCTGAAATGTCCTTCAGTCTTCTCCGAGCTATTCGCACATTCCGAGTGCCCCATTTGCCGGATGAGAAAATCAACATTCGCGTTGGCTTGCACACAGGTTTGAGAATCACGACAGATGTGTTTGGAAGCAAACAATGTTTCGTTCCAGGTTCTGTTGTGACTGGAGTAGTTGGTATGACTATGCCAAGATACTGCTTGTTTGGTGACACTGTCAACACCGCCAGTCGAATGGAAAGCAATGGAAAACGTGGGTCAAGTCTTTTGGGCGCTCTTCTACTTTATAACCCAAAAATGCAAAATTTCAATTTCGCTGGAGTATCACCCTGGGATTCTTTAACATGGTGAGTGGAGATGCGGTACATCTATGGTGATCACAAAATTGAAGTACCAAGTAGAATGAATGTCTCCTGATAAAGTTTCGAAAAACCACTTGTGCAAAATTCTTCAGAATTTGAATCTTCCCTTTTCGTCTGTCCAAGATGATTGAGATCACTTTTTGACACTGTCCAAGAGAAAGGTGTTCTTTTACTTTAGCTGGCCGTGTACACATATCCGCCGATTGCATGAGATTCCTGACTGAGAAGATTGGTGGATACAAGACCGAGCTCAGGGGAGAAGTCATTGTCAAAGTGAGCTCGTCATCTTGTTATGAATACTTTTTTTTGCATGCTGCGTACTTCAGGGCAAAGGTGCTCTGGAGACTCACTGGCTACTAACACCCGAAGAGCAAGAGAAAGGACTTGTTGAGTAAATGATGTCCAAGATTTGTATGACTGAATGGTTGCAAATACTAACCGCATGCCATTCCGAAAAGAGGGAACTGTACAGATCTGTAGCCGGCAATCTACCTCAAATCATCCAAAATATCTCTAACCTTCCTTCCTTGTTTACCTCCAACAGATTTCTAATGTTTACGGATGAATCCCTAGGTTAGACTTTGACGAATGTTAGAATTTATTTATTTCTCAACGAAATGTACACCACAACAATACAAACAATAAAGTGAACCTGTACCTCACTGATGATCCTCCTCACAGATACTGTATTTCTGTTTTCTTCAATTTCTTTTTCTTTCTTCCTACAGCAGCAAAATCTTCATCATCAAAAACGCTTTCGTCTTTCTTCTTTGCTTCTAGTTTTGGTTCTCGAAGACCTGAAAATATCCAGTCCTCCGCCGGGAGCAATCAACATTAGAAGGCAAGCTGTTTGAAACTGGAGGAAAATTGAAAATGAGCTTACAAGTGATTTTGCTTCTTTCTTTTCGTATCAGCTCCTTTGAACTCTTTTTTCTGAGGTGTTCCAAAACTATTGATTTCGCCTTTCCTGCATCCAATTTTCTCTTCTTGTCTGTATACTTCATATACTTCAAATTACGCTTCATGAGATCCGCTGGCCGAGCAGCGCGAACTTGTTCAATAAGTGAAAAGCCCTGCAGATTAGTCAATGAGGAGTTTCTAATATAAATAAATAGAGAAATGAAGTATTACTTGCTCTGCTAACCGATCATCAAGCTCAGATGTGCTTGGCTTCGATCGTTGCTCGATTATGAAACTTTCTTCTGGAGGAAGTTCTACCTATATTAGAAAAGCATACAAACGTATCGTCTCATCCAGCGTTGAAGTGTCAGATACCTGTCCCTTGGCTGCCGCCGCCAGTATCTTTTTGACTTGTTCCCGTTGCAGTTCCTGTTTTGTTCGCTTTCGTTTTGCTTTTTTGAACAGCCCATCCTCTGAACAAAACAGTTTGACCCTTTCAAGTACCTTAAACTCAAAAAAAGTGCAGTCAAAAGCTCAAAATAAAAAGGAAATGAAGGTCACACCACATCCTGGATAAGAATCTACCGTACTATGGTAGCAGTGTTTATGAGAATTTGACACATACTCAAGAAATTAATGTGCAACTTTCCCTCCTTTGCCCACTGCCATTTACGGGCTCAAATTATTATGATATCAGAAAATTTACTGAGGAATGGATACAGCTCGCATCGTCTATATACCGCAGTTCTTCCCAGACTATGAAAACCTACAAATACAGTAGGAAAGTTCGAAACAAGTAAACAAACATTGAACACAACTACTGTAAGCAGCCGCACATCATCATGATGGCTTCCTATGCATCATATGACGGATATACAAACTCAAACTGAGGCAATATATTTTAAATCAGTAGCAAGACATATGGTTAGACTAACCCTCTTCAATGTCTTCAATAAACTTTTGCAGCAACTCCTCTGACATTGCTGTGTTCCTATCAATTGATGATTAGGTTGGAAGAATGTTGATTATAATGTGAAAGTATCAAGCATGAACAACATTTACTTCAAACTGTATACAAAGCAAGATGATAACAGTTTATCTCATGCGAGTAACAATAAACAGATTAGGCAGCGTTGGAGTTAGGTCCACGCTTCTTTCCGGGTCCAGTGGCAACATTGACGAATCGCCTGGTGTACTGAATTCGTCGCGCTGCTCGTCCTGCAAGGATCGAATATACATCATGCACCATAAGCCAAACAACGAGTCACTTACCCTTCTTCTTCTTTTTCTTCTCCTGCTTCTCAACCTTGGGAGTCTGAGCGCGTACTTTTCCGGCACGAGCCAATGATCCGTGAACCTTACCTAGATAAAGATACTTTGATCAATACGCCGTGTCAGGAAAAAATAAAAGAGCGTAAAGGGCCAGACATACATTAAGCGATTTCATCGCCTCGCGATTCTTCCAATACAATAACTGTTACGAGTCCACTGCATATATCATCTTGCATTTCGGTTGTGACAGTTTTCCGACTCGACTAGTCGCAAGCAACTACCACTGTCGAAATACAAGATGATCATAGCATGCAATGGAATCGTAACAGTCGCCTTGTCGGGAGAACCGCGAGGCGACGAAATCGCGTGATGTATGCCCGGCCCTTAAAACTAACGGAAAGAAGAAAATAAATAGGGCGTAAGATAATTACCTCCAAGAAGTCGGGCATTGATAGCGAGAGAAGATCCATCAGCAATGTCGAGACATGAAAGACTCAAGCTATCTTCAAGGATGGCACTTCCATATGAGAGAATGTGCTCATCAGCACCAAGGCTTTCCTGCAAAACCCGTTTTGCTTCGAAAAATATATATGTGACTGACTAATCCACAATCTTGAGCAAAGAAAATGAAAAATCCAATTGTTTTGGCATAAAATCCCTCTTCAATTTCTATCAGCAGATTTAGAGGTTAACTTTGACAGAAAAGCAAGTCACTCTTTACATAATGGTTGAAAGCTTAGCTGTTGAAGAATTTTCACGAAACTTCCAATCATTGCCACACGTTCCTTGGAGATGACAAGGAGCTTCAACAAAAAATTGTCGAGAACTAGGATTTGAGAAACTTAGTTCTTCAGATAACTGATCAAAAGCTCCACTTGCTCCAAAGTCTTTCAGAGAAATGTGACCTATGCGACCTACGCGATTATCCGTTTAGCCTCCGATTTCTCTACTTCTAACACTCATAAAACAGCACGTGTATCCTATGTTGAAGTAGCCATGGTGGCACAAAACTCGCGCCTATCATAAACCGATTTCGCCGGGTCTAAATTTGGGAAGGCGCCTATTTTGGACTGACATCACAGAAAAGAAACATATATAATCAATATCTACTTGAAACTCCGAATACAATATGCTACATCTGGTTGCGGTGTACTGTTACGAAAGTTATGCGCTTTTTGTGTGCTAAATTGACATACTATTCAACGTAGGAGTGAGCACTTCGAGAATGATAACGTAATGCCAGTAAGTAAAGCATATGAATTGTGCACAGATAGAACCAATCGCTTCAGAATGATGTGCCGCAGTAAGCAACAGCATATTTGGAATCGTGTTTCAAGTTAATTTAAAATACACAGGGTGCCCCAAAAGTATGCATACATTGCTTGATCGTTAATATCTCTCTTGCCAAGAAGTACCTACCTTAAGGTACTATTTTGTAAAGCTGGCTTCAACTTAGACTTACAATATGCAGCAAACCACCGATCGCTTGATAATGGTAGGAGCTTTTGGCTTACAACGTCATTGATTCCTGTTCCAAGAATTCTGAAAAGTGGCGTGCCACCGTTTACAAGCGCTGATTTCATTACTCAACTTTCTAGGAGTTTGTAGAGCCTTTCAAAGGATGTGATTGCGATTTTAGGGTGCACCGTAGAAGCAGCTATTACGGTTTGAGGGGCATAAGTCATGGAAGCATCGCGGTCAAATGCAAAATTCATATTCGGTTTTAACGACTTTAGTTAGCCTAGTGTAAGAGTTTCCAGAATGTCTGGTTTGCTTTCTAAGGCGAAATAGGGCTCAAAAACCTTCTTGAAGTTCCTACCGTAAACCTACAGTAGTGAGCGAAGATAATGATTCGCTCCACACCGTAAATCTAAGTTGAAGCCTGCTATACAAACGGTACATGACGGCAGGCAAAAGACTTCAAGGGAACAGAGATATTAATGATCAAACGGTGTATACGTACTTTTGGGACACGCTCAGTCTGAGTTGAGTGTCTCTGTAAGAAAGCAATCAAAAATGCGGAGAGCGGGCACAAAAAAAGATAGCCCCTGGGCAATTCCCCCCCCCCCCCCCCCCGAGGCCCTAGCAAGCAAAAGTTACACAAAAATTACAGCTTTCCAGCGGATTTACGCGGCAGTGTTGTTGAGTAAACAGAGTTTTCGAACAGCAAACTCCACGCGTCGTAACAACGAATAACAAAATAAAAAAACATGAAGAGGAAGGAAACGGGTATAGTTTGGAAACAGATCATATAATTGAACCAACCTTCAACTCGAAAAACATGAGAAGAACAATGACTGTCTAAGTAAAAGTCTAGTGAGAAACAAGTAGAAAAATCACAACACTTACCTTAATCTGTGCAACAGTGGTCTCTGGGTCCACTTCAAGACGGTGGATTCCGCCGTCCAAGGCGTTTATGAAGATTTGCATTGTGGCCAAGTCGATCTTCTAAAAAACAGTGAAGTTCCATATAGCAAACGGTGAGAAATTTTACGCGGCATGAAAGGCTAATCCAGATCCTACAGAAAAGACAACAATGAACAGCGACTGGAAGCCGTAGCGAAAATTCGAAATAGAAACCATGAACGACGTAATATTTTGCCTACTATGCGAAAACAAGACGACAAACCGTACAAAGCAAAAGCTTTGAAGTGTGTGACAAAATATACCAACGACACACAAAACACAGAAAACGAAAACAACCGCTATACGAAAATTTATTTCGAAAATGGCAGGAGAATGGAAAAGCACGTGCCGTAACATTGAATACTCAGCGGAAGCGAATTATGCATAGACGGTGGGTCCCGTGGTGGCCAGCTCGCCAACTCGTCCCTCTGCTGCGGCAGCGCTGCGATGTCGCCATCGGTCAGAGGCCAGTGCTCACGCGATTTCTTGCCGCGATTCATCGCAACAAGACAAGTGTTACGAGTTCATTGCATGCCGATCTTCTTCTATTTCGGTTGTGATAGTTAGACACGATCAGCCGTGTTGGAAAAACTATCACACCGAAATGCAAGAAGATCGGCATGCAATGATATCGTTGCAGTAATCTAGTCGCGATGAAATCGCGTGAACTCTGCCCGAAGCCTTAGAAGACCAAATGATTTCAACAAGCCAAGTTATATCTTGCTGAATACGGATGTATGTCGAGAGAGGCATTTTTATTGGAAAGATGAGCGTCAAATAGCAAATCGTAATATTTTATGCCGTTCTTGAAGCATTTTTCCAAGTAGAAGTACTGCGTAGTCGAGTCAGTTCCAAGGTCGTTTCATCACAAAGTGAGATTGAAAGATGAATGCCGCGGGTAAAAAACTGAATTGACAATCAACACAAGTTTGTAAGTTTTCACCAATTTTTAGCAAAAGCCGATAGACCCAGCAAATGCTTATCTAGACGAGTGTTGAGTCAATGCACTTTGTCTGTATTTTTTTTTAAATTGGACCGGACTCGATTGTTGAGCTGCTGAGTCAAGAAATTTCGCCTCTTGATTGTCGTCTTGACCGGACATCTGTAGACCCTGGCAAATTCGTTGGAAGGAATCGGAGATGGTGAATATTTGAAGCCAGCACTCAAGATTTTTTATAGGGGCTGCAGGAAGGTGTAGCGGTATCAAAGTGTGATCGAGATAATTTAACAAATATTTTATCACAGAGAGAGCTACATAAATGGAAGAAAGGAGAGGGAGGAACTGAGTTTAGTATTCAGTCCTTTCTTTTATAGGAGGTCCGATCAGCATTAACAGGAGCGGCAAAATGTCACATAAAGGGTGACATTACTCAATGTTGCTTAATCTGATGCCCTTAGCAATCCGATGAAGTGATATGGTAACACCATCAAAGTTTGATAATTCGAAAACAAACAAGACTCTAATCTTATTAGCAATCAAAAATCTCTAAAATTTTCTGAAAATTCCAATAGCTATCGACTGTCCCAAAAAATGTATCAGTCATTGCTAATAACTTTTCTAAACAGCGTCCGTCGATTGTTTTGAAGCATATTGCAGTGCTGTCTTGAACTTACTGCGGGAAACGGACCGATGCCTTTCCGTTACTGTTACTTTACGGTAGCTGTTTTTTTGCACCAAGCGTGTACTTGCCCCAAAATTTTTTTTGTTAGTACTGTAAACTTTGGGAGACTAATATTGTTGACTTCAACAAGCTCTTTGCTTCATCGCAAATCTTGGTTAAAGCTACACGCCGTGATGTCAGCACTTTCCTAATATTCATTGAAAATCTGATTATAACATCCATAAATATGTGCAAAGCTTCTGTGATGTTTTGCCACACAGATTTATTATAAGTTTTATTTACTCAGCCTGACGTTTAGGCAGTAACGCCTTCCTCAGAGGCCTGAAAGATAGTCTCGCTCAGTCTCATACTCAGTGTTGTCCACTTGAAACGAATGTTGAATGAATGAATGTTTGAATGAAGAAAGTGGAGGCCGGCATCGTATAAGGCCTAGGACAGAGTCACGCGATTCGATCGTCGCGATTCAATCGCTACAAGACAAGTGTTACGAGTTCATTACATGCCGATCTTCTTACATTTCGGTTATGATAGTTTTCCAACAAGACTAATCGTGACTAACTTCACAACCGAAATACAAGAAGATCGGCATGCAGTGAACTCGTAACACTAGTCTTGTAGCGATTAATCGCGACGATCGAATCGCGTGAACTCTGTCCGAGGCCTGAAGCAGCGAATATGAGCGAGACTATCTTTCAGGCCTCTGAGGAAGGCGTTATTGCCTAAACGTCAGGCTGAGTAAATAAAACATATAACAAACCTATGTGGCAAACCACAAAAGAAAGTACTACTACAATGCCCAGGTTTTCCGAACAAAGAACATATGAAATTCTACATGTGCAAAGTTATTTGCTAAAATTAGCGGCCCAGATTATCACCGCAGAAGTCTTCAGCAATTCCAAAAATTTTCTAAAATAGTGGCTGATTTGCTACAACGACAATGTACTGGAACCCTACCATAGTATCAATGTAATGAAGAAAATTGGATGATGTTTTTTACATTGTGAATCTAAAAAACTGAACACACGGCCCTAAGTGCCCAAAAATCTGCGAAGGCTAATCGAGGCCAGAGCTAGTAGCGATCATACATTTGAGGCTTTTTCAAACAACCTATTTATGGAAAATATATGGGCACAGGGTCGTAAAATGGGACTGTATGTTAATGAGATGTGATTATAGATGGTTACTACACTTTTTTCTCTGGTCACTGATCCACTGATTACTTTCAGATCTTTCATCATTTATGATGACTTTTTTCTTTTCAATTTTGCACCTTCCGTTCATCATTTCCAGGCCATATTGCGCTTAATCTATCATGCTGATAAGCTTCGGCAGATTGATCATTGCTTCCACCAACTTCCGTCAATGGACAATGATCTCGTCACTAACAACTTCTATTGCAATGTTGTAAGTTCACATTTCTCACTTTTTCTAATTCTTTTTCCATTTTCTTATTGGAATGCATTGAAAGAATCGAGAACTATGTATTTACATTTTATTTCGCGCATGTAATCAGTGAAATTGTAAAACAAATGTATATATGATTCGCTATTTGAAAACTTTTTCAAATGCTAAAAGAAAATATATATACTAATAACCTGATTTCTAATTAATTTTCTTCCAGTTTGCATTTTTTGCAAGAAAGAGAAGATTTCCATGCACTTAATATGGTAGCACAAAGTGAGAAACTCTGCTTTCATCCTCTTTTTTGTTCTCATTTTTCCCCGCACACAATTGTGCATCACGTTAGCACATTCAGCCAGCCCATAACAATATCATCCATCAATGAAAGTATGGTTATAAACGGCACATCTGATGCTTGCGCAAGGCTATCCACGTCAGACGATCGCTTTGATTTTATGTTTGTATAACGGCCGTGGACATACTGTAAATGGCTATGGAATACGTAGAAAATTGCGTGTTGGTATGACCATTATATTAGGTCATTCCGAAAGTAATTTCGCTTTTTTCAAACGGGCACCACATGTGACGGAACAAAGATTTCTAAGAGATCTTGGGAGCATTCAATGCAGAATTTCATTCTCTTTCTAGTATTTATGAAATTGTCGCAAAACAGTCAAGGAGCTTTCAGAAAATCACCAAAACCTGCAACCCATGCTTTTTGAAATAATCAAGTTTTGTGATTTTTTAAAACTTTGATATCAATCCTCAAAAGGATTGCAAGTAACTATTCCATAGAGTAAACCTTATAAAATACAGCACTACTTTTTTCTCTTCCTCGTATCTAGCCGTAATTTTTTAAAAGATTTTTTAACAGAACCATCGGATTTTGGCAGGCCCACCTCAGCCACAATGGCAACAAACATCATAATTCTTCGGAATTTGAGACTACCAAGGTAGTACTATGAGTTAGCATAAATTTTACAAAGCATGTGAGGGTTTACGGGTTCGAAATATCAAGTTTCGAGTTTTTTGGGTACAGCCTGGGGCTCGCTAAAGAAATGAATAATGATGATTTTATCCCCGGAAACTAAACGAATTGAAAACAAAAAACACCTGTTAGAAAGAGGAGAAAATGCTGCATCGAGTAGTGCGCGAGCTGCTCCTCTTTTGATGTTCTACGAGGATTTAGTTGCCCATGTATGGAAATTGGTAGCATCAGTTAAAATTCTTTCAAAAATGTATGACTAGATATGGAAAGGAGAAAAAAGTAGTACTGTATTCTATAAAGTTTACTCTATCGAATCGTTACTTGCAATCCTTCAGAGGATTGATATGAAAGTTTTAAAAAATTATAAAACTTGACCAACTCAAAAAGCATGGGTTGCAGGTTTTGGTTATTTTCTGAAAGCTCATTGACTGTTTTGCGACAATTTGACAAACATTAGAAAGAGAATGAAATTCTGCATCGAATGCTTCCAAGATCTCTTAGAAATCTTTGTTCCGTCACATGTGGTGCCCGTTTGAAAAAAGCGAAATTACTTTCGGAATGACCTAATATATAGCAGAATACGAAGCTTTTTGTGCATTTTTTTGCACAGAATTTTCTATCTTGACTAGGAAAAAAGTCCTTTTCTGTAATCTACTGCTAGATTCTGAGTGTTCCTTCATTAGATGTGATCATTTCATACTCGAGAAACATATCAGGCGAATCCCGCCTAGTTTATACTTACTGAAGTTTACTCTGAATCTTGAAACCTTATGCAGTATTAATTTGCGGTAGTAAAAGCTGAGTCAAAAATTTTTTGATTTTGCAGATTAACCCCCTTTTAGTGGCGCCAGTGAAAGAGGAGAATTATTCCGATCAATGGAATGAATCGTGAATGGAAAAAGATTTATGATAGCTTATATTTTTTTACGTATGGGGCCAGGACCTGTTGCAATTCCACAAAACTCGGATTTCATTTTTTTTCACACAATTTTTTCCTCGAAAACTCGCACCTCATGCTGTTTTCGCAAAAACACTGAA